AGGGCGCTGACCAAGGCAGATTAGATGTGGCTGTTCGTTCTGCAAGTGCGGTCGAACATTCAGAGATCGGCCTTCCGAGGCTCAAGGACTTCGATCCGCTCCAACTTCTGGGGGCAGGAGGCATTTACGATTTCTTGTAGTAAAAACTTCGGAAATTAACTGTGGATTTCTCTGCTGATCTTGTGAACCGCTCCAGTAGCAGTAAATCAGCTGAGACAACAGCAATGTAAGTGAGAAGAGTGGAGCTTAACCTCCGTCTAGGAACACTCACGCGACTTACATTTACGCAAACGAATCTGCAGAAACAATAAATATTTTAGACGTCAGTTACAAGAGTTACTCCATTCAGACATTTGCTAATATGAACAAGTGTTGTTGGATCATAATCTTCCTAAACTCAGAGCCAAGTCTTGATTAATAATGTTCTATAAAGATTTAGTGTCAGAATATCAGAGAACGTTTATTGCTTCCAGAAGATGGTTACAAATTGCTCGGAATTTTGTTCTGCCGAGCCTAAGGCAATCAAAATTTTCTGTCAACGATAATTTTCTCTTTCTGATGACGGGTGATTGACATTCTTCTTGAATGTCATCTGCGAAATGTTGTTAGTGGAAATCGATTCCCTACCAAAGGTAAAGGGCCAGAGGAGGGCGATCAAAATAAGATGGAACCCATATTCAGAAATAACCTGCTTCTCCCTTTGATGTAATTGATATTATAATTTTCTGTTGTGATAACGCTCTACTAAAATATTTCACGATCACCGTTGATAAATGACTAATAGATGGCGATACGCTCTTGAACAACATTTCTTTATGTTTGAATATTGATTAAACAGCATTCATTGAAGGACTGCGAAAATTAACTTGTGTTTTCAAGTTGGTGTGACTGGGTCAGTGACCCTCCGAAGACGATTCAAAGCATAAACATTATAGGAGTATGTGTTTAACAAAAATAATTCTGATTATGTATAATGTATTATTACACATAGAAAATACCGCAGAGCTAAGTGGGCTTTCTTTCTGTTTGTGTCACCCGACACGGCCATTCATAGAAGACATACTTTATTATCTTATCAACATCATATTAAGTAAGTTCCAATACATTTGAATTTACTTGCTAATTTTTTGATTTTGTTATTGGTATTGCAGGCATGCTCTTAAATCGCTCCAGTCTTGATGCCTAATGGATCGCACTGAAGAGGGAGTTCTCCGCATTTCTGAAGTTTGGGATGTGATGAGTGATATTTTGGGTGCTTCAATTTATTGGAATTCAGCTTGTAACATTAACAATTTATTTTAATTATTTCCAATAAATGATATTTACCATTGAAACATATACTTGAATATAAACAGATTATTTGATAAACAGCTACATTTTTAACCATTTGTATAATTTTTAAGTTTTCCCAAAATATATTCTTATATCTGCATGTATGTCATCACTTGACTGTCGCAGTATTATGCAGCAATGAAGATTTATGTGACATTACTAATACTTGTAGGAATAACTCAGTTAGAACTTCATTCTTCACAGGCTGCATCCCTCAGACTAAGACACAAAACATTCAGAAACAGTTCCTTTGCAATTTTCAATCCACTCGAACTGTCAGCAAATTACTGTAGTTGCGGAAACATTCTTTATTTTCTGTGGCACCGTGTTTTGTCTTTCTCAGGAACATAAAGAGAATGGGTGGAAAACCTGGAAACAAAACTAAAATGTTAAGGAAATCATGCTTTAAAAGGAAATGTTCCCAATGTATCGTGATATGAAGGATTATCAAAAGGGGCAAGAGTCGAGCCGATGCGCTGATGCTGACAGGCAGAGGCAGACACTTGATGGGTTGAATAACTGCAAGGAAACTGAGGCTGACACTCAGGAACATTCGAGTTAATACAAAAGATCACCTTACATAAAATGAATGCACTTCTCGTAATAAACAATGCTCGAGAAGCAAACAATACTTGCTGAAACAGAACACAGCAGAAATGTAATTAAGAGGGTAGTAGTTTGTTGCTAACTACTCACTTTCCATTCTGTCAGCAAATGACTTTCTGGGTTACCTTTTAGATGCATTAAGTGAACAGGTATTTTTTATATTAATATTGGTATTCAGTAAATATCTCTCTATTAATTTTAACTTTACTTAAGTGTTACAATTTTATAGTTCCTGGAAGGTCTTGATGGTAGAAGCAGACCCTCTGGATGGAGGAACTCGATATAACGATATTAAGTGGAGATTTTCTGGTCATTAGATACTAAAA